ATGGTTTCGTAAGTCTGTTTCGAAACCTTTATGTGCTCTACGGAACTATGGCAGGTTTTGTACCAGACATACGAAACCAAAAAAGTTCAGTATACACGCTGCTGAACCTTTCAATGGTTTGGCAATAACAGCACGAAACCTTTTTGGTCCTCAAAACCTAAAAAAAGTTCTTTATTTACGCTACGGAACCATTTTGGTGGTGCCAAACTTAAAATAGTTTGGTGAGCCATCACTAAACCGGAATGGCTTGGTGGACTACCTTTTTTTTTTCAGCGTGGGGTTGTCCCTCCCTATAGGTCAACATTTCAAAGGCGAAATTTTTAACTAATTTTTATGTGGTTTTATAGAGCATGAAAAGGTGTATATACCGTGAAATTTTCATAGAGATTGGATGTGTAGCTTTGGAGAAATTGTGCGTGAACTGAATGAACAGTCTGATGCTTCTTTAATAGTGTTATCTTTTTGCCTTGCACGCAATATCAAAACTACTAGTAGACATGAAAGTTTTGATTGGGTCACAAGATGCGCCATATATTTCTGCAAAGGATAAGTGGCTCACATTTTTCTTAAGCTATTTATCGGTGGAAAAGTGTCCCTCCCAAACTACATGTCAAAATATCAATATATGAAAAACTTGCATTTTTTGCCCAATATCTTTCTTCTAGCATACTTACTATTTTTAAGAAAGGAAATAATTGTATTCTATATACTGTTCGATAGGCTTTTTCATGAGCAACAAAATCATACACAAGCGCAGCAGAAATAAGCTATAAAGATGTTGATTCAATGTAGGATATATTGGACACGTATACGACCTTTTCTTGAACAGATTCGCACACGAGTGTATTGCAACTCTGATCACACTTATTTCAGATACAACTCGATGAGCTCTATCGGTTCCGATCATAAAAAATTTTCACCCACCCTCACCCTCGCCCACCCCACCCTCAAAAATATTTAACTTAATAAGTACTAGTTGCAGAATCATCGATATTTTATGCCTTTAAGATGCTTGCCGCACTTAGTATACGTTTGACAATACTAGACCTGTTTGAATGTCCATTTCTTACTAGTTATAGTTTACTGCGTAAAAATGTTCATCTATACTTATACAAATATGTGTAGAGAATTGTTGCGAATCATTCGAGTGTGGCAACGAGACATTTTCTCATTACATACACGCAAACCTATGAGAATAAAGAAAACATTACATTTTGTTATCTACTATATAAAGCATATACATTTACAGTATACGGTTTCTTTCACAATTGCGCACAAAAATTGACGAATGAATGATACTCGGCCTTTGTTATTGGCTTCAAACAACGATGGCAGTGACAAAAAAAGTCGAACGCTATTCAGGATGTATGAGGGAAATAAACATTTGAGCGTAAATTTAAAAGCCATGTCCTCATAGTTTTCGTCATTGGCGTCAGTTTTTTGGTGTCAGTCAAGCTAACGACGAATATCAGAACCTCAATGATACTGATGATGAACATATCGAAAACGAACCATCTATCAATATTTTTGAACTGGTAAGTGTACCGAAGTTAAAATATATAATGTGACCTCGAAGTCATTTGATTTCATTTCAGTTTCGCTTTGCCGATCGGATGGATCTTTTCTTGATATTGATAGGATTGTGCGGAAATGTCGTAGAGGCCCTGACTTGGATTTCAAGTTTTGTCCTACTAGGCAGACTTGCAGGCACACTTTCTGCGGAATCATCTAATGGTAGTTCCGTGTTTCAGTATGGAAATCCAGTCGATGCTACTAAAATCAACGATGGATGTCCGCCAGCTATTGAGCTCAACTCATTTAATTTTATTCGACTTCAAAAGTAAGCTACGCTTGGATTTTCGAAATGGTTATGCTATTTTTTTAATAAATCTGGATTCTTAGTTTTTGCAATGGTAGTGACGATGTCACGTCGTCACTGTCATTGGATCCCTCGGTAATAGAACGTCGAACGAATGTAATGTCAATGATTCATTGGCTATTAAGTGGGTGAAAAAACTTCTTCTCTTAGATTTAAAAATAGAAACAGTATTTTCTGAATATGCAGTCATCGGTATCATTGCATGTGTCAGTAATTTCACATCAAACATCACCCTCACCAGAGCAGCTGAACGACAAACTACGCGCATACGAAAACGCCTCTTCCAATCTATTATTCAGCGGGTATGTCCAAATCTGTAGTACATAAAACATCCATTCATACTTGAACAGGTAACATAAAGTTCTCAGTACTGACTTTCACAATACACCTTAGCCAATTGGAGACGGTTCAGTTTTCGATGTAATATCGCCCGCGTCCAAACTAAACTTTTGATGACATAAGAGCAATTTGTTCGCGAATGGCTTTCGTGCCTTACTAAAACTCTTTGACTGTTAACTATATATTTCATAATCGAGGGCACTCATTTGCTTGATGGCTATGTGCTGTATGTTACAATAATTTAGTTCAAATAGTTCATATTCTTCATGAATCTGATTTGTTGAAACAGTAAAAGAACGTTCGCCTAGCTTATTATGGAGTTTATTTGTGCTATTGAGACAAAGTTTCGCATAAACTCGCGACCTGCCTTATATTGGCAGCTATACTTTTTATGGAACTTTCGTCATATCAAAACTGAACTAAACCCCTCCCCAGTTTAGAAGACCCGGGGTCTTCTAATATGTCCACGCATAAAAAATTTCTAATGGGGTCTTCTATTATGTACCATCTTTTTCCATAGTTTTTAATTAAAAAGTGTTTTCAGAAAACTTTTTCGATTTTGAGTTTTTGAGAGGAGATTTCCAGACTTTTGACACCATGTAAATGATGTCGATCTTAGTCTCTTCACATTTTTGGTCCAAAACTAGGTGTATTTTGCTGAAAACATACCAATTAAACGATTAATTTTTCGAATTTAATAATTAATTAAGGGGGTCCTCTAATACAACTTTGAAAATTTTTTCCCAATGGGGCCTTCTAATCTAGGGGGGGGGGAGTTATTCGAGTTCTTCGAGTTTGAAACTATTGAACTTCTAAATTTAGAATTCGAGTATTCGAAACTTCCGGTTTCAGAGTACCACTGTACGCTACCAAATATGTTTACTCGCCGATTCCGTAAGAACTAGCCATCACAGAGCACTCGACATCGACCAACACCTCGACAAAGACACCTTCACTCTCATAGTTCCCTCTTAGCCAACTGCACGCACCCACACCCACACTTTGCTATTCCCCACTGCACCCGCCCACACCCACAAATGTTAGANTCTGATCATAGAATAAATGATTTATATACCCTCCGCAAATAGTGAAGAAGAGGATAAATATTTGACGCTGTCAGTTGACTCACATGTGTCGGAACAATGAGTTTATAATGATCGTTGTTATTGTATGCATAATCTTTCATGAAGTCTGTTTTGATCCATGATTCTATTGTAGAATATGTATAGACTTTATATAAATTTATAATGGAATTTCTCAACTATTGAAGTGGCAATGTTGTAAAAACCAGAATTTATGCCTAATGTACATTGTGAGACGACAGGATAATCTTCTTCGATGTATTTTTTATGCGTTTTTCAATTTACCAATACGTAAAATACTTTCTTTTTCAGAACATCTTCTACTTCGATACTCATGGACCTAGTCATGTCAGTACGAAACTGTTCGAGTGAGTCATCCACAAATTTGAAATAAAGGACATTATTTTATTCTTTTTAACATAGAAATATTGATAGCATTCACACAGGCATCAGCTCTGAATTATCAATAGTGATCGTAGTATCCGTCTTTACCATCATAAGTACAATTGTATGTTTCATCCTGAATTGGAAATTAACATTAATCTTTCTATGTATGACACCGATATTCGGTTGCGGTTTATATTTTTTCTCAAAAGTATGTTTGTTGTGTTTGATTCAATTCATTTCTATAAATTTGAATAGCATGTTGCCAAAGAAACAAAGAATGAGTTAAATACATATTCTAAAGCAGGGCGAATCATCAAAGAAGTGTTCAGTTCATTTCGCACGGTTCTCGCGCTCAATGGCCAAAAATTCGAACAAAAGCGGTATATAATGTACAGAGCAATAGCTCAGTTCTCAGAGATTGTAAGTATAAAGATATGTTTTATATTTAGATATGAAAGTGAACTACATGCAACCCGATGGTGTAGTATTCGTAAAGGCGCTATGCTTGGTTTTTTTGTTGGTTGGTTATACTTCATAACCTGCATTATATATGTCATTGGATTTTTGGTTGGTTCGCGTCTCATTCGTCTTCATGAATGTACCACAGCGGAAATCGGCAATATCCTCACAGTAAGTAATTTCGAAATGAATTAGCATAAAGTAATCTTCTTGTTTTGAGCAGATAGTCATCCTCTTGGTAGAGGCAATCACTTTCATGTCCTATCTTGCTCCTTGCTTTCAATCATTAGCAGAAGCCTGTGGCGCAGCAACAGAAGTGTTTGATCTTATTAATGAGGTAAGACATCTCGCATATTAACTGATATTGTCCTATGGCCCAGTTGCTTATTTCATTCAGGCGGATATAGCAAATATAAATGAAGTCAACATATGGGACGAGAACACGTCTGAAAGAGAATCAGTTGATATCCATGGTGATATTGAATTTGTTAATGTCAACTTTGACTATCCGAACCGAAACGGCGTATCTGCTTTAAAAAACCTAAACTTAGTAGCTCGTGCTGGTGAAACGACAGCTTTAGTTGGAAAAAGCGGAAGTGGTAAGTCTAACAAAAATATATTCTAAATAATAAATTATCTTGTAATCAACAGGAAAAAGTACCTGTATATCACTTCTACTTCGCTATTATGAACCTTCTTTTGGCAAAATCACGGTCAATGGTCGATCAATAACAGAGTACAACGTCAAAAAACTTCGAGAAAATATTGGAGTTGTCAGTCAAGAGCCAGTTTGTTTGTTTCACTATCTCTCTCCGTCTACTAATGCTATTGATTGTTTAGATTCTATTCAACACAAGTATATATGAAAATATTCGTTATGGAAGAGAAAACTCGACGAGAGCTGAAATTGAAGAAGCAGCTCGACAAGCCACTGCACACGATTTCATCATGCGACTACCTAATGTTTGCACTAAACATCCATCTATTTATCCATTTGTGCTTTTTTTGTCTTTTCTTATAGAAATATGAAACAATTGTTGGAGAGGGCGGTGCTCAATTGAGTGGAGGAGAAAAGCAACGTGTAGCACTAGCTCGTACACTCATCAAACAACCTGGTATACTTTTGTTAGACGAAGCAACAAGTGCACTTGATAATAACAGTGAGAGAATCGTTCAAGAAGCGCTTGATCGAGCATGCAAAAGTATGTGTACATGACAAGTTCATTCTTTGGACATCGTAATTTTACAGCTCGAACAACCATCGTTATTGCTCATCGTTTGGCAACAATTCAGAGCGCAGATCGCATTTATGTATTGGATAATGGAAATGTAATTGAGCAGGGAACCCATGAAACATTGATGACAAAAGAAGATGGAGAATATAAGCAAATGATCAATATGCAACAGATGGAAGTAATTGACAATTATGATGATGATAATGAGGAAATAATGATCAAATCACAGATAGAAGAAGATGACAAGAAAATATGTATGTAGTTTCCTACTTATATATGGTATAAACAGTCGTTGATGTCTTATGTTTGTTCAGTTTTTCGTTCCTCTCCACTCACCGATAACCAACATGCTGTTCAGAGTGTAAATCCTAGCAGAAACTCAACCGGTTTATCATTATTTTGTAAGTATCGCTTTTTTTGTTTTAGAAAAAAGCGTCATCGTCAACTCGACAATCAGCATTCTTGAGACTTTTACATATGAACAGCCCAGAATGGATGTTAATTCTAATCGGTTGTACAATGTGTCTTATTGTTGGAGTCTCACAAATGATTTTGATCGTCTTAATCCCAAAAACTGTCGCTGTAAGTTTAAGTTCTTTAGAAGATTTATTATAAATAAATCAATTTGCTTTCAGAAATTATCGCATTGTAAGTTGGCTGAGGATTCCCACCATATCATCCTTTACAGTTGTTTGCTCTTATTATTGGGTATTACTGTTTTGTGCGTCCGTTTCTGTCAAGTAGAAACATTATTGATAAGTCCAATCAATACGTTCTCTTTTTGCTTTCATTTATTTTAGTATACAGCTTTTGCTGTATCTGGCTCGAATTTGACACAACGCATTCGTACAAAAGCTATTGCATCACTTCTTCGTCAAGAAGTTGCTTACTTTGATCAACCAGAAAACAGTTCCAGTGCAATAAGTACCCGTCTTTCATCTGATGCACGCGCTGTTCAACATGTAACTGGCCCGCGATTGGGCATCATCTGTGAATCTTCGATTATGATCGTTATAGGTCTTGTACTTGGTTGTTTGTTTAGCTATAAATTGACGCTCATTTTATTCATCTGTTTTGTGATTATGATTACTGTTGCTTATTTGGATATATACTTAGCGACAAGAACTGATGAACGTTCTGCATTGAGCGTACAACAAGCAAGCGCAGTAAGACTCGCCTTTGTCATTGTTTTTATTTGAATGCAGCATATCGATAAACATATCACCGGAGAGTGATTTTGAAGGAAGCGTTCTCGCACAATAAAAATAGCATATTCGGATTCAGCGTGATCAGTTACCCCCGTCCCCGTCGAGATCTCAAATGGGTACNCAATATGACGAAAAATAGATTTTCCTTATAGTATGATATTTTCAATGGAGCATACTTTAATATTCAATAGTGATTGCCAAAAAGCAATTTAATTTAGGAACAGGTGTTCTTTACAACATCGAATCAGCCATATAAAGTCTCTTCATGATGATCTTTAGTAAAAACTTTTCGCTGTTATATAGAACGAAACAGTAATATGTCGAGTGAGAAAGGTATCGTTGCTTTTCGATTCTTATGAATATGCAATTCGTTTTTGAATCGGAGGCGCAATTAATACATGTTTATTATCGATATCTAACAAAAAGGTTAGGAGGACAGTTGGGGGCCATTGAGATTACAATTGTAATTTCGGGGAGAGATCAGAGTGTCGTTCGAGATCAGATATGGTTAAATTTGTGTTAGAAACTAAGCTTTTTTACTAAAGAAATGGCTTATACGTCAAAAAGAAAAAGTCATTAGATAAACGCTAACAAAAGTCGTTGGTCAAAGGACACGGCGGATGGATCAAGTGATGACAGCACTTTCTCCATGAATGCCAGTGATGAAGACGAAGGACTAAGTCAGTTAAATTTCAAAAATATGCTTTAATTCTGTAATGTCGGTGGCCTGTTTGTACTTTACAAAGTCGATGTAATATCAGATATTTGAGCGCACTTATTTATTTAATATCACGCCGTTTTAATGTCTCGTTCCAAGACACAGATATACTCTACTCAAAGAAATTGGAGGTTTAACGGCAGAAGTATCTCACAAATGATCGATCCGTTTTATGGATAGGGAATTCGATGAACATATTGCTGATAGAAGAGGTGGCAAACGTGGTGACAGTTTCTATGATGTTTATCCGAATTTAGAAGCAAATGCAAAAGCGCATGCAGTTTCAGAATGTGGAGAGAAATCTCCTAGCTTTACAGTATATGATCTTGCGCTCTTTATCGGCGAACGTTATGACGAAATTAACAGTATGCATCATCAAGAAGACTCCGACCTTGTGAGATCAGTGCAAAGTTGTCGCTTCGACTTAAAACACTGGGGTGCCCGCTTTGATAGTAATACAAATCGTCCGTATTTCGAGGGTCATGGGCGTGCTGATGTGGTAGCCCATCGAAATGAATTTTTGCGTCAGTTTTTGACGAATAAAAAGAACTATTACACCGTTACCGCGGGAGAGAACGCCTTTTGGGAAACGCCAAAAACATCGACTCTAACTATTCTCATTTTTAAGACAAGTGATTTTATATCAATCTCAGAAAGAGCCATGTTTCATATTATGCACTAGGTCATGATGAGTCAACACTCCGAAGCGGCGAGACTCGTGCTAAACGTTGGCTTTTTTGACGATGCTGCTCCGTTTTTCAGTAAAGGCAATGGGATAAGTGTTACGGTGTCTGATTTTATCATTCAACACTCGTCAGGACCTTTCTTTCAACTAAGTGAGAAAGAATGAATGAATGCTGTGAAGAAAAAACGGGTGTCACAAAATGAATGGACCTCTCAGTATTTTCCATATTTTCATCCATAATTCAACATAAAAAAATATTTTTCTCACAAAACAATTCTCTGTCAAATTCTCTACGAGACGGGTATATATTTGTTACTTAAAGATTTTTTATTCTGATACAGAATAACATTCAATGAATTTGTTCCAAAAGTGTAACTTTTAAACAAGAAGTTTTTACCGTGGCCAGAATATCTCGCAATTACTGTACTGTAAATATATGTAACTTAGTAGATTTGGTAGAACTAAGCTTGCTCTACAAAATGATATAATTGGATTCTTAAATCGGTTGAGGAAATCTTAAAAAAATTTCTTGTATAATATGTATCTAGGAGAAAAACATTATCCAGTTTTCAGGACTAATATTCGTTGGAATAATCTGTTGAACTTCATTCATAGTATTCAAATGCACGGGAGAATCCAACTGCGCCGTTTTGTTGAGGAAACTTTCCCTCCAAAATAGACTGTCTCATATATCGCCACAATATAGCCCTTTGGAAATAGGTCCACCTACTTCGTATGCTTACTAGTAAGAAAAAATCTCCTTTCAATATTATTTAGTACCTCTACTGTAACACTGCTATCGGTAAATAAAGTTCAAAACGTTTTTCTGCAAAATAATCAACAGAACAAGCGCTGCAAAAAGTCTGATCAGAAGAGAAAGTTTTCTAAATACTTTGCGTTCTTTTGTCTCATCTCTCTTCAAACGATCTACTAAAAACTTCTTGTTTGAAAGTTACGCTTTTTTGAACAAATGCATTAGATGCTATTCTGTATCAGAATAAAAAATCTTTATGTAACAAATATATACCCGTCTCGTAGAGGATTTGATAGAGAATCTTTTTGTGAGAAAAATATTTTTTTATGTTGAATTATGGATGAAAATATGAAAAATACTGAGAAGTCCATTCATTTTGTGACACTCGTTATTCAAATTTACTAGATGCGACAGATCTTCATTATGAAAAGTATTCCTCTGCAGTTATTGCTCATCTAGGTGTAGATCCTTATTTCGATAACGATATCATCTTGTTACAATTCGAACGCTTATTCAAATTACTTCATTTCGAAGAAGCGTACAAAAACCACAAGATTGAAATACTTATTGGTAATGCGCGTACACGCACTGCCAAGCAGTACAGTATTAATGATTTCGGTAAAAGCAGTGACACTCAATGTCCGATATCTTTCATAGAATACAAAGACGAAATGAATAGATCAGAGCGTATCGAATGTTTTCTTTCAATCCGGTCCTCGAAAAGGTCAAAGCAAAGATTTACTTGCCATTGCAGTAGAACTTGGCTTTAAAGTTTCATCAAACACTACATCAGATGAGATTAAATCTATTTTATCTACACAAAAAGCTTTCCAGAACATGAGTTTTCGCTATCCCCTTTCATTTAAAACCTGTATTTATCTCTTCTGTGCTTACAGATTTCGAAACTAGAAAAGATAGCAGATGATTTGGTGTCAAAGCAATATGCACGCCTAAGTTTCATTGCGAACTTAATTCGATAGAGGGACTTTCGTGTCACCAAAACCAATTCGTCCGAAAATATTCCAATCAAACATTTAGCACGATGTTACGACTTATACTTTTGGCAAAGACAAATTTCACTGGGCAAAATGTCTATATTAAGCTTTTTCGTCATTTTCGGAAAACGATGAGTGCCTAAGAGCGAGGTGAAACTTACGAACAAGTTTTACAGCTATTTTGCAGTGATCACTGTACACAAACAGTAATTTCTCATCGACGAATCACTAACAGTAATGTATCATGATTGAATACTGATTTTCTCGTGAAAGTCGTTTCGTTCTTGTTGTTTTCTCCACTGTTTATGTATCACAATCTACTTGTTAATTCAGTAAAATATGAAGATACAGTTTATTGAAGATAGAAGATATCATATACTATGACTATCCAATGTTCCTATAATTGCCTGAACTGATGGTTTCGTTCTATATAACAGCGAAAAGTTTTTACTAAAGATCATCATGAAGAGACTTTATATGGCTGATTCGATGTTGTAAAGAACACCTTTTCCTAAATTAAATTGCTTTTTGGCAATCACTATTGAATATTAAAGTATGCTCCATTGAAAATATCATACTATAAGGAAAATCTATTTTTCGTCATATTGATAGTTGCCAGAGAAATAATCCGTTCTCCCCTATAAGACGAGCAAAAGAAAAACCGATACACAGATTTTTACCCATCACCCGACGACTAAAATGACATAAAATTATAGGGTATCAGATAATCCTATCGAGAGTTTAAGCATTTTTGGCAGCGTGGGATCACTAAACAAAAACTGATGCCTTATCCCAAAGAGTTGGTCAAATATCTGCTACAAAGGCATCTGCAATTCCTAGAAAACGTCTTTTTCGAGATTTTCGACTCGAAAAGGGGCGCAAAAAAATTTAGAATTATACAGCTCTGTATAGTTCGATGAGCTCTATCAGTCTATGTAAAAGACCGCAGAAAAAAATTTACTCGATTTTTGAATTAGCTCCACCTTACACATTTGTTCATGTAGGTGCGTCTGGTTGTGGTAAATCAACTATAATACAGCTACTCGAAAGATTCTATGATGTCACGGGTGGCCAATTAGTGAGTTGCATCTATCTTGAATGATAAAAATTTGATCACTAAAATCTAGCGTGTCGATGGTGTCGACATTCAACAGCTTAACATTCATCAAGTTCGTTCTTGTCTTGGTCTTGTCAGTCAAGAGCCGATACTATTCGATATGACAATAGCCGAGAATATTGCGTATGCTAAAGAGAACGTATCATTTGAAGAAATCGTCGATGCAGCTACCAGAGCTAATATTCATGATTTCATCCAACAATTGCCTGAGGTAAACTGGCAGACGATATATCATGTCAATTATTGTTGAATAACTTCAGGCCTATGGAACTCAAGTGGGTCACAAAGGTAATCAGTTGTCGGGCGGCGAAAAGCAGCGTATTGCTATTGCTCGTGTTCTACTTCGCCGACCCAAAATGTTACTGCTGGATGAAGCCACGAGTGCCATGGATCTGCGTAATGAGCAGGTTAGTCTTTTTACTGGTTGTAAATCTACTGTGCAAGCTGTTTGCAGGCAGTGCAACAAATCTTAGAAAAAGTTCAAGCGGAGGATTCTACGCAAACAGTACTTATCGTTGCTCATCGTTTGTCGACTATTCGTTCGTGTGATCTCATATGCGTAGTACAAAACGGGCACATTGTTGAAAGTGGCACCCACATAGATTTAATACAGCATCGCGGGCATTATTATAAGATGCTCATTCGTCACGAATCATAAAATTTTCTTAGGTGATCTATGAGACTAAACAAATGTATGTAGTGTATCGAAACATTTGTCAGAAAACAGAAATCAGAGATTTACGCTCATTATCTGTTTATGAAGCATTACGAAATAATAAAAATTAAAAATTAACTTTTCATTATCTACCCCTAAAACAACTATGAACGATCTCGATAATAGATATTCGTCTTATGCACCTATTTCAATGATCAACAGAAAAGTATTAGAAATTTAAGAGGAAGAATATGGAAGTGGAACTACTATTTGCTATCATCAAATTTTTATTATTATACGCTGTAGTTTTACCTCAAAGTTTGTATGGACAGAAAGAAAATTTCAATAATAGCAGCATAACTACTGTCGGAATTTTTAAAGAAGGCAGGTTGAAGAACAGTTTATAATGTTCGAATGGCAAGCGATAGCGACCTGCGATTTTCAGCATTCAATAGATGACAGTCAGGAGCACATGCCTATGTGGAAAAGTGAACTTCTCAGGTGCTTTTTCAGGCCAGCTTTATTCTGTAGAATTAAGGGCATGTTAACCTATATTTTAGGGAACATTTTTGTCGCAGGATATACACCCCGATATGCCCTCTTCACATTGATGCCTAAGCACTTTCTAGATTTCGCTTCATTAAACTACCCTGCGCCTTTGGGAGAAATTTCATGTAGTATATTTTTCGGTCGACCGTCATTAGGCAGAAAGTAATAAGGCCGAATGGACTTATGTCGGAAAGAAAAAAACAAATAGTCAATAGGAAAATATCGAAAGAGAGAAATGTCGAAAATTTCATTGAAAGATATATTCTTTATTTGGTAATTTACAACATACTAGGTTGAGGAAAAAGTTCGTGCGCCGTGTAAAATAATGATTTTTTTATGCATGAAGTTATTGAAAAACAATAACAACTATTCTTCAAGATAAAGACCATAATTGTCTACGACCTTTTGCTAACGATTTGCAAGCTTTTCGATTTGGTCAAAGTACCACTCCTTCGGCTTTGAATTGAAAAACTCTTGACATGCTTCTTCAACTTTATCGAATGACTCAAATCGGCGACCTTTCATAGAGTGCTGCATTGACCGGATGAGATCGTAGTTAGATGGAGCAACGTCTGGACTATAGGGTGGATGTGGCAGAATTTCGACATCGTCCAACTCTTCAAACTTGTTGCTGGTCGTTCTTGCGGTATGCGGCTTTACATTGTCTTGTTGAAACACAGCACGTTTTCGACGAACAAGACTTGGATACTTTTCAACCAGCACATCGTAGACTCGATCAAGCTGCTCGCAGTAAAGTTCAGCGTTGCTGGTGTGACCATTCGGTACAAGTTCAAAATGCAAGATTCCTTCGAAGTTCCACCAAACGCCAATCATGATCTTCCTTTCAAATTGGTTTTGCTTCGAAACGGATGGAGGAGTTTGACCTTTTGGGGCTCAACGCTTACTTCGATCGTGATTAGCCAGGTAGGCCCACTTCTCGTCTGATGTCACAATTCGCTTCCAAAAACGGTCATCCACCGAATTATTGAGTAATTGGCGGCAAATTTCGACTTGTTTAACGGCTTACGCTTCGGTCAACTCGTGTGAATCTTGTCGTGGCTTTTTGTGAACAAAGTCAAGTTGTTTGAGATAATTGCAAACTGTCTTTTGATCGACACCAAGTTCTTCAGCCAATTCGAGTGTGTTTGATGACGGCTCAAGATCCAAAGCGGCTTGCAAGTCTTCTTCATCTAAAATCGTTGGTCGTCCGGAACGTGGCCTGTCTTCAAGATCAAATCACCTTCATTGAAACGTTGGAACCATTTGTGCAGTTCGCGGTGCCACCGCACCTTCACCTTCAACGTCACAAATTGCTTCTCCAATAATGACAGAGCAATACGCGTAGCTCAAATTTTGTGATTTCGTAATCGGACATCTTGAAAAAAATCAATAAACTTTCATAATAAGCACAAAACCAGATCAAAAACACAAAAAAAAAATGTATAAAA